CAGCTGACCCGACTGCCTTCAACGCTCCTTTTTTTACTATTTGACTCAAATCTGCATTGAATTAGATGCATATTTATCAGTGACATGAACAACAAATTATTATCCAGCAATTCACTTTAATACAAAATAACAAACTTTGTATCTTAAACATAAGCCTTTCCTGCTTAACTTCAACCTGTAAAAATGAATACAAAACAATAAAAAAATAAATAGTGCACATTTTAACTGCAAACTTGTACAAACTTGTAAACATATTTGTGCTTTAAATGCATTGACTGTAGGCTACAGTTGTAAAACAGAAAAAATAAATCATTAGCTCAATGCCACATATTGTGGCGATAGCCTAATTTTTCCACTTGTATTTCCTCTGAGCTCCTGCAGCAGTGAGGACGTGTTTGTCTGTGAGTGCTGCAGAGTAAACTACGGAACTAAGGAAAGCAGCGTTAGCATTTAAATGACTCCGTTCGTCCCCCATGTCACTGCGCGAATAGATGTATATCCGGGTGTCTATAAATAATGTAATTATGGTACAAAAAATACTTATTTCTATCCTTAACCCACTAAAGAATACTAATACACATCTGTAAAGAATATTTTATGATTTGTGAGACAATGTTTATGCTTTTCTTCGATAAACTGCTTCTCTGACGTCGTCATCAGACGTGCTCAGAGCAGTCCGGCAAAATATGATTAAACCATGTTTATCTGCATTTTAATTGTTTCTTTCTTTAGATTACGCACTATATAGCATTAGGTAAAAAAAAAAAAAAGAAAACATACAACTCAAAAAAGGCTAGATTTATGTTTAAATCCAAAGCCGAAGGAGTTAGCGACCGGAAGTAGCGTAGCATCCCATTTCAGGTGCAGGTCGGGAAGAGACGAGTGATAAAACAGAAACTTTTAAGGCATCTTTTTTTGTCAGGAAATGCATTCTAAACGTTTAACACTATATTTTAGTATGTTTACTATTTTTGGGAGAGAAAACGGAATTTAGGTATTTTTAACAAAATAAATTGAGGACGACCCGGATGTATATCTGGATGAGCATTCGCCAATGAGCTGATGGCGCATGAAGAACGGATCGTGCTTCCGGAACGGATCGGATAGTGACACCCCATACTGCTCTGTTGTCTCCCGCTATCGTCTCCGTGGGCAACACTTGGCTCGACCAATGGGATGAGGGGATTCTGGATCGTTACATATATGTTGTGCTCATTGGTCACAATGCAGGACAGGGCGCTGGAACTAGTTTACCGTAAGTTTTGTATCTAAGGTGCCCTTGTTCTTCATTTTCCATTGGCTTTTTACTATTTTTTACACCCACAGGACAAAGTGCGTTCCTTTTCCACTAAATACGGGACGGGTACTTCTATTTCTAAATAAAGAATGATTCTGTTTTTCGAGGGACGGTTGGCAACCCTAAGTGGCAGTCAGAGATGGGAAGTAACGAAGTACAAATATGGCGACTTTTTACTTCTACTACTTACATTTTTACACAAATATCTGTACTTTCTACTCCTTACATTTTAAAAAATTGGCTCGTTACTTTAGTTTTGAATCATTTCAATGGAGTTACCGTTATTGTTTTTCACGTCATCAATACCAAATTCAATCTAATTGGATGGGAATCTACGTTGCATTTGACGCACCGCTACAAGATGAATCGACAGATTCGGCGGTATTCATTGGCGGCAAATCATTGCAGCTTGGTGGCGGTGGCGTTAGCATAGTAGCATGGACGACGAGATGATTGAAAATGAACACAACGGAGATCTAGTCCTATTGGCAGACATCCATTTAAAATGTAGGCAACGGCATGAAAAAAGTGGTTTCTACTTTTACTTTTATACTCTAAGTAAATTTACAAGCCTGTACTTTGTTACTTTTACTTGAGTAAAGAAGTTTAATCAGTACTTCCACTTTTACCAGAGTATTTTTTAACACAAGTATCTGTACTTTTACTCAAGTACGGAAAGTGAGTACTTTTGCCATCTCAGGTAGCAGTAGTGTTCTTTGGCAAACATGGATGCCTCCAGTAAAGCACATTCAAATGAAAATGACTCTGAATTAAAAACACTTATCGTTTATTTGACAGTATGTAATAATTTCATAGTTAAAGTACTTTCAGAAGTTTGAATTCTGAGTTTGACTGGACTTTTCCTTTAATATATCTCAAATGAAGCTAACACTTGGGTCAGTGTTGTTTTAAAGACGAACATGGGAGCAAAGATTGATAGTTCGGATATCTGGGCTCGAGTTCGGTTATGGCTGCCTCCACAGGTTCTCACCGTGCACACTAACTTCTCTGTTCCACTAAAAATGGAGTCAAGCTGTGAGCTAAACCCAGCTCTGCTGAAGAAGGAAAAGGGACCACGCTGTGTTCGAGCTGTGCGTGTGCACCCAGTGTCACGTCACTTACCTCACTCACTCACCTTACCTCGAGCTATCATTAACCATTAAAGCATGCTAAGCTTTTAATATCTTCATAAACTGATGTGTTCTTTCCATTTTATTGCTCGTCTGATATCATCATCAGACATGTTCATTCAGAGCAGTCAGCTGTTTATCTGTATTTCAGTTGTGTGGGGTAATAGATCGATCCACAGAAACAAAGAGTCTATTTCAGCTCTTTAGCTGCAGGTTGCAGACCTCTGATATAGAAACGGTGAATCTATCCTGATAAAGCTAAAGCTAAATGTCTGATAGCGTCATTTATAAATCACCGTAAATGTTCATCTGGTTAATTCATCGAAATGGTTAAAGGACCCAATAAATCCTTGTTTCTGTTCCAGAGCCTAAGAAACTAATTATATGTCACCTTTACAGGGGCCAGAAGAGGGGCCAGGAGAAGTTCTAGAGGAGCAGAGGCCCCTGGTGGCCCCCCGTCTGATACCGCCCATGGTTTAAAAACTTTTAAGAAAATCCATCTACATTAGCTGCTGTTCAACCGCTCAGGGCAGCACTGAGCTGGATTTCAAAATAACATTCCAGAATCAACTAAATTTTACTTGATTATATATATATATATATATATATATATATATATATATATATATATATATATATATATATATATATATATATATATATATATATACATTTTGATTTTATGTATACACATGCATATTTTTATCCTGTGCGGGCAGTGCTTTTATTTTATTTTATTTACTTTTATTTATTTTAGTTATTTTATCTTTTTGTGCAGCACTTTGGCAACCTTGTGTTTATTTAAATCGTGCTATATAAATAAAGTGGATTGGATTGGATATATATATATATATATATATATATATATATATATATATATATATATATATATATATATATATATATATATATATATATATATATATATATATATATATATATATATATATATATATATATATATATATTATCAAGTGAAATTTAGTTAATTCTGGAATCTTATTTTGAAATCCAGCTCAGTGCTGCCCTGAGCGGTTGAACAGCAGCTAATGTAGATGGATTTTCTTAAAAGTTTTTAAACCATGGGCGGTTTCAGACGGGGGGCCACCAGGGGCCTCTGCCCCTCCAGAAGTTCTGGCCCCTCTTCTGGTCCCTGTAAAGGTGACATCTAATTATTTTATTAGGCTGTTTTAAGACAAAATAAAGTGGATTTTTTTTAAGTGAGTTCTAACCTGCATGATATCTTGAAAATGTCTTCATCCGCACAACATTCTGTGATTTCAAAGAAAATGTGGAGCTTCCTAACCTGCAGGGGGGGGATTTACCATGAGGCAAATTGCCTGTTAAACAAATTTTACATGTATGGTTAATAAAACTATTCCTTATTTGTACACATTAAGTTTTTGATAAAGATCCTTTTGCTAAAATGCCATCAGAACGCTGATAATATTAAGTGTGTCTCAGCCACTTTTCAGACCCCTCTAGCACTTTGATTTCTAAAAAGCTCCTAGCGCCAAATCTAGAGACTTTTTTCTGCTACTGGAGACTTTGGAGACAACATCTAAAAGCAGCGAACTCTGCTCTCCAGAGCGAGTAGATTGGTAACCCCGCCTCCTGCTCTCCTCTATCTTGTCTGCTGTCATGATTCATGCAGCTATTATTTCATCCAAATGAAAAATGGAGAACAGATAAGCAGATCATGGCTTGTCTACAGTGAAAAGAAGGACTGGGTTATTTACTTTGGCCTTTTTGGAAACACAGGAAGGAGCAATCAGCTAAGTGAGCTTAGTGCTTGGAAAAAATCTTTCATTCCTTTAGAGACGGCATGAAAAGTCAGCTGAGTACAAAACATAGAGAGGAAAACAAGAAGAAAAGGGACAAGAAGAGAGGGACAGAACCTAGAACAGATAATGGATGTCTATTCTATTAACATTTCTCTATCTGTAGAATGGGGCTGTTTTATGTGTTGTCTTTTCAATTCAGAGGGCCCCCTGCCTGTCTTTAGGGCCCAAATTTCCTAAATCCGCCCCAGGTGACCTGTAACCCTCACTGGTTCAGTCAGACAGGTAAATGTCCGTCGCCACATGAGGGAAGTGAGCAGCTCCCGTCCTCCCAGTGCTGGGATATAACATTTCACCAGTTTAGATTGGCTCGCTCAGGGCCCCCATCAACACACGTGGAAGTGACCCTCAGACGCCTCTCCAGACCAGCCGGCGTGTGTGTGTGTGTGTGTGTGTGTGCGTTAGAGAGGAAGTGCACCAAGCAGCTGATGCAGTGTGTGCTATGTTAACCCATCTAAGGGCAGCAAAGCAACAACAAACACAAGATCACAGCGCTGAGGTCACCTCTGACCCCGCACCCTCCTCACAGTCAGCCAGATCGCTATCGCTCCGACAGTCACTGAACAGTCTCACACACACCCCCACACACACACTTGCCATCATGGGTGTCCCTCAATATGTGTTTTCAATCATTGACTTCCCCTGGAGAAATCAAAGGGGTAAATGATTGACATTTATTTTGAATGAAGGGCTCCGCCCAATCAGGCAGAACCTGCAGAGTGAAATCCTCCCGCGCCCCCGGTCAGGCCACAAGGCTGCTCGTCTGCATCCCGGCAGAAAGAAGCCGGAGACGACCTGAGAAGCGGCCGATCTTCAGAGCTGCGGCCTGCAGGGTGACCTATGACCTCCGGCTGGATACGCCTTAACGTCGTACCTCCACGGATTTGATTTCTCTGCTGCCGTCAGCCGGCTCCTGGCCTGAGGATCTGAGGTAAGCGACGCCGCCGGCTGAGCTTAGAGGTTGGACTGGATATGCAGGATCAGAGTGAGAATAATGAACCAAATGGATCCCTATTGGGTCACATGACTGTGCTGTTCTCCAGTGGAGGTGTCTGGTTTCTCAGGGACAGAACCAGCTCAGCGTCTGGCCCAGTTGAGTAAACGCTGAGCTCCAAACACTGAACACACACTCTAAACTTCATTACAGAGACCTCCACCGTTTTGTTGATCATGCCCCCCCTCCCCTCCCCAAATGAGAATTGAATTTCTTTTCTTTTTGTTTATGTTATCATTTTGTAGTGGACTATAGGGCAGAGAGGAGGGGGTGCTGGGAGGGGGGGGGGTGGGGGGGGGGGGGGGGGGGGGGGGGGGGGGGTCATACACAGTTTAATGAAGTATTTACAGATAATTCCAGCTGTCAAATACTTGAGCTGGATGACATAGTGCAGAGTGCTGACGTTTAGAGCTGACCCCCCTCCTCCTGCTCGCCCACCTCCTCGGTTAGCAGGCGGATTTGATTTCAGGTAAGAACTTATTATTGGGTGGAAAAGAGGCCAGCGAGAGCTTTTACTGAAAGCAAAACAATCCTCTGCGTGGCAGATCAGAGCTGGAAGAGAAGCACAGATAGCTGCTGTCTGCCCTCATGTGTGTTTGGACTCTGAAACACCAGAACCTCCCCGGCTTTCAGCTCCGACCCGCTTCCCCTGCAGAAAATGAAGTCATTAGGAGTCACTTCTAATAATTGGAGACAAGCAGAAATGTTGAGCTGAAAAATCCACCCTGAAGGGAGGCTTTTTAAACCTTCGGACTTGTTTTGTCATGAAAATGATCTTAAAGCTTTTAGGGTCAGTTAAACCGTAGCTGTCAACTATTTAGAGCCTCATCCTGGCTGAGACAGGGGAAACTTTTCTGCTGTAAAATACAGAGAAACACTTAAAGACCATCATTTCCAATAAATAAATATATATATATATATATATATATATATATATATATATATATATATATATATATATATATATATATATATATATATATATATATATATATATATATAGGGCTATAATATATAAATTAGTTATGATAATGGCTGCATAAATAAAAGAAAAAATGATGATATGATATAATAATAATATTTATTTAAAAACCTGGAAATTATTTTCTTTCATTTAGTTTTACTCCCAAAAAACAAAACTTAAATTCATAATTAAGCTCTAATGTTATTTTATATGTCCTTATTAAATGTTTCTGAGAAATAAAATACAGTTTCAAATTTATGATCAACAAAATATTAGCTTTTAAACAATTTATAATTAAAATATCACGCTTTTAATTGCAATCAAGGTTCACAATAAGTTGTTTTAATGTTTAAAATAAGTAAATTATTTTAAGCAACTCATTAATCAGGTATGTAATAATAATAATAATAATAATAATAATAATAATAATAATGTGATTTTCTGTAGGTAGATTTAAATGCCAGGGGTTCGTGAAGTGGGCCGTGGCGCTGCGGGCTGCGTGGGTTCGGCCCCTCAGTGAAAAATGTTGCTGAGCAGCTCTAATGGAGCCGGGAGTCCTGACCTCTGCATGGAAGCAATTAGCGGGCGGCCCGAAAGTGACAAATTAAAGACAAATTAATGCTTCGCGGAAACGAGATCCATCCTTTCAAAACAAGCCATTCGGACCCATTTCTGGGCCATCAGCGCCACGGGAGCCCACGCAAGCCCACAGACACGCGGGAGCCCTGCTCTGCGTGGGGCAGCAGATATCTGACCATGTAGATCAGATCCTCTTAGTTCCTTTATTCCCTCTGAGAGGAAATAACATTTTATTTATTTATTTTTATGAAATATTTTTATTCTCTTTTTCACAAAAACATCCTTTATTCTCAAACGCTGTAAAAACGCGCAGAAAGATGCGGCATCATTCTGCGCAATCTAAGATAATAATAATAATAATAATAATAATAATAATAATAATAATAATAATAATAATAATAATAATAATAACAGGAACTTTTCCTCTTATTAAAGTTTTCCTCAGATGCAGAAAATCTGAGATTCTCCTCTAAAAAGATCAAAATCGACTGAAAATATTCTGTCAATTCGAAGTTAAGCCAAAACATTTTCTTAAGGAAAAAAAAGAATAAAATGTGGAAACGCTACTCCGCCATTTTTTTTCTGGATTTTAATGATGATCTTATTTCTGTTTCTGATCAGTTTTCTCGTCTTTTTCTTGATCTTCTGGGTTTTATGGATGAACAGGAGCCTCGAACTCGCAGTTTTATGGTGATCTGGTTGGAGATGTTACAGATATAACAGGGCTGGACTGGATTTGATCTTTTCCCACCATCAGGAAGGATTATTTTCAAAGGAAATAAAAAGTCTCCATTTTATTCCTGGGAGCATTAAAGTCCTCAGAAGCATTGGAACAAATTAAGTATGAAGTAAAACGTCTTTCTGGTTCCTTAAATGTAATTTAAAAATAAGTTTCCTGTTATATTATTATTATAAAAAAAAAATACTGGACCTTTTATTATTATTTTTTATTATTCGTTTGGTTTTTGCTGCTTTATTTCGCTTATGCGCGCTGAGGTGACAGAACCGCAGTGTTTCCATCTCACACTGGGATCCTGACCGTTTAGATCCACCCTGAGGATCGAGCTCGTCCTTCTGGTCCCACTCTGAGTGGATGAGGAGCGCCTCAGCCTCTCCGTGTTCACCACACAGCCGCGCTGTTTGCACAGATGATGCCTCCAGACCCGCTCCATCCAACCAGGTGCAGAGACACCGAGCCGGAGCCATGCGCTGCAATCAGAGGAGCTGCAGAAAAAAAAGGAATATATGAAACTCTGTCATTAATTGTTTAAAGAATAATTAATTCTGCATCAGTTCAGCTGCAGGCTGGAACTTATTGCGCGTCGTTCTTAACGCTTCATTTTGCCTGATCCAACCCAGACGCATTCTTCTCCAAATGATCCTGCTGACTTGTTGAATTTTAAATGAACTTTGTGCCGAAGGTCTGCTCTGTGGAAAATCACTTTTTCCCCCCAATTAATTCGCTCTTTTTAAATAAAATCCTGTTATTTTTCTGTTTATCCTCTCAGCGGAGGCCTGACCTGCGCCACACGCGTGTTCCTCCACGCATTAACGAGCCCCCGATCTTTGGCATCATTGCTGCTGCAGAATCTTCCACGCAGCCTGTTTATTTCAGAGATCAATATTTGATCCTGCTGTCTGAATTGACCTGCTTGTTTGACTCGATCTGCAGAAAAAAGAAGTGGAAAATAAAAGGTTTCAATAACTTACAGCGAATTTTTATGCGCAACGGAATCATTTCTGTTTTCACGCAAAAAAAAAAAAAAAAAAAAAAAAAACAGCCTCTAGATTAAACTGAACCAACTGGAAGCCTTTGATCTTTGCCCAAAATATTTCACTCCATTATTTCACCTAATCTGAGTGGATTGGACACGTTTTACCTTCAGATTAATTTTACCTGGACCTCTGCTGTCTGTGCTGCTAACAGATGTAGTTATAATAAAGTAAATACTTGGTTTGTGAAGATAAATATATAAGATGTTAAATTACTGTTTGCGTCATAATAAAAAAAAATTGTATTTATTGCACAGTTAAATCTAAAATATAATCCGGAATAATCTGCGTTTCCACAGGGTCAAATTAGCCTAATCCTGATATTTTTTCTGTTTTTTTTTTTTTTTTTTTTTTTTATATTGAACCAAAACCTCCCTGTTGAAGTTTTAATCATTAAAATAAATGTATAGATGAATTTAGAGTGAAAATCATTTCCGCCTTTTCATCTTTCGCAGATGAAGCTGAATAATTCATGTTGCGGCGCTCAGGCCCGCGTGTCCTCTGTGCGTGACCCGCACTCCGTGCGGCGCCCACGCAGCCATAGAGCGCCGTGGAAACCCCGCTGGAGTTTGGACGGTTGTTGTGTTTTTTTCTACTTCATTTTTTTATTATAAGAAGGTTTTTCTATTTGCTTTTATTCACCGTGACTCCACGCGGGCTCTATAGGAGCAGCCGGCCCAAGGCAGAGCCAAACTGGGCTGCTTTAAGCTCCCCCAGTCCAGTAGGGGGCGTCCAAGGGAGCAAAGATTATTCAAGAATATAAATTCTATATTAATCTTTAAGATGGTGGAGAAAGAAGTAGCTTTCATATTTGCTGTGTTCTTTTATTGAATTTAAAATCGATGACAAACTGGTTTGAATCCAGAAAGTTTTTGCTCCAGACTTTCAGTAACTGATCGCTTTTAATTTTACCTTTCATCACAGAACATTTTAATAAACCGATCCTATAAAAGTCAAACCAATTAATGTTTCCTGTAACTCGTTTCAAAAACTTTTAAAACCAATAAGACTTTTCTCATTTTTAATGCTTTACAGCCTGTTTGCTGCTGATGTGTTTTAATATATTAAAACACGTTTTAATATAATAAATAAAGCGAAGCAACAGATACAAGTAAACTAAAAAAATTATTTATAAATCCAGTTTTGAATGAGTTTATATAACATTTATTTGTTGAAAGTGTTTTTTTTTTACCTGATTATCTTTCAGTCCTTTTATCTTTTTGTGTTTTATTCACATTTAGTTGCTGCTAATAAATAATTTTTAAACAAAAGTTGCTTTAATAAACAGATGCAGATTTTCATTATTACATTTAACTTCCATCATAGCAGCAAATGCAGCCTTAGGTTCATTACTGGCCTCCAAATGGCCTCCCTCCCCTTTGGTTGCCAAGGCGACGATAGGCCTATTTGACTCCAACATCAAATGTTGTACAGGATCTCAGATAATGTAGGACACCTCTGCCTTTACACGAACATGAGCCCTAAAAGAGCTCCATTCATGGCCGCCCTGTTGGTTGGATTCAAACCTGTAAACATTTCCTGCAAAAGTCAACTTCTTCTTTGTGCAAAGTCGTGATAAATGACAAAGTGTTTTGCTCTGGGAAGACACTCCCTGCAGCAACCCTGGGTGACATTTGACCTCCTCTATAGCTTCCTTATCTATTAGACACAGCGCTGTGACATCTGTCTATCACCTCCCAGGTTTATGATTAACACAAGAGCGCATCTGATGAGCACACACCTATGCTCGTCCCACACTTATTATTAGGCTACTTATTAACATTGACTTCAGTTTGTTCCTGTAGGATGAGACTGAAAGAAGCTGCAGCTCAGATATCAGCCTGATAAACTTCCTGCTTTAGACCAAGAGGTTTGTTTCCTCCCTACGCTGCAAAAAAAATAAATCTAAATAATTCATTGCTTCTTAAATTAAATGCTGTTTTTCTTAAATTGAGGAGGAAAGTGAGACACTGCCTATAGAACAAGACAGTTTACAATAAGATGAAAACAATTACATTGTCTCATTTATTGTGCATATTATCTAATTCTCTTATTTTAGGAGTAAAATACTGATTCCAATGGGAAATAATCTTATTTACCTGCTCAAATTAAGAGTAAAAACACAAAATTTAAGATATCTTTAGTTATTTTTTCTAGATTGTTTTTGCAGTGTAATGTCAGAGTATCTGCTGGATGGTTGCAGGAGATAAACAGGCCTGCACTGCAAAAATTAGCTAGAAATAAGTCAACATTTCTTAAATTAAATGAATTAACCCAAAATTTAAGCTGGTAAATAGGATAATTTTTAATGGAATGGGTATTTTTACTCTTTAAATAAAATATGCACTTGAAATGCAATTGTTTTTTTCTTATTTTAAATGTCAATTGTCTTGGTCCATTGGCAAAGGGTCTCACCTACCTCCTCAATTCGAGAACAAATGCACTTATTAAAGGAAAAAATGACTTATCTAGATTTAGATTTTTTAAATTTATTTATTTATTTATAATTAACAGAGATAATTTAATGCATGAAATCCCTGCTTTGGTCTGGTGGTCAGTAGCAGTTTGTTGTTTTAATACGGACTCAGCAGAATTCAGGAAGCTGGGACTCATCATTTATTTTGGAATAAACCAAATGTTATTTAAACTCAAGCATCCATAGAATAGCTTAAACTAGAAATGATAAATGCTTACTATTTTTTAGATGAAAAAATTTAAATTCTTCAAGAAAATGTCCATCCTGTCCTCAGTCTCCAGAACCGGCCGCTATGATACTCCCAGCCAGCAGAGGGCAGCAGAGGATGTTCAGCCTCATTTTAAGAAGCTCAAATTCTAATTTAATCTCAGACTGGATTAATTATCAGGAGAGAAAGGTTAATAATTTATCATTTCATTAATCAAGATCAGGAGTGGGCAATCCCAGTTCCAGAGGGCCGCTATCCTGCTGTTGGTTCAACACCTGAATCAAGTAATTAGATGATTGAGAGGACTATGGAGGAACTGACTGCTTACTGAGGAGGTTAATTGAGCGGTGTTGGACCAAGGATGGCTGTAAAAGCTGCAGGATAGCGGCCCCCCAGGAAGTGGAATTGCCCACCTCTGTTCAAGGTGCTGAGAGTATGAAAACATTTTTGGGTTCTGCTGGAGGTTTCTTTCTGTTAAAAGGAAGTTTTTCCTTCCCACTGTCGCTACAAGCATGCTTAGTGTGAGGGATTGCTGAAGAGTCAATTAGTCGATGTAATCAGCTGGTTTTCCTTAGATAGAAAAATCTGACTGGATGATCTGGTGCACTGGAAAGTGCCTTGAGATGACATGATGTGAATTGGAGCTATAGAAATAAACTGAATAGAATGTTTGACGTTTATTGGATATCTAGCTCCAGTCAGAGGATTCTTTTTGTCTCCCTTAAGCTGCTTTTCTTTTAAAGGAATATAAAAAAAATGCATAAAAGGTCAGGAATAATAATTTTGCTGGCCTGCTGGTCTACAGCAGCTGCGCTCTTTGCTTATGCCTCGGGCCGCGCTACCTTTTCCTGATCCGGATCAGCAGAGTTCCTCTGGTCACTTCCAGTAGAGATCCTGCCCCCAGAGCCCAGCCGTGGCCCCCGCCCTCCCTCCCTCCCTGTCTCTCCTCCCCTCTCTCCTCCCTCTATCAGCCGTCAGCGCAGGGACGATTGGAAGTGACAGAGTGATTAGAGAGAGCTCCTCTGCGCCGCTGCACAACTGGAACTCAGTCGCTGCTGTTTTTACTTTTCACTCAGGTTTGGGTTTATTTTTTCATCTCGGACTGACGGCGTTTTTTTTTCCTTCCTCCTTTTTTTGCGCCTCTTGCCTCTTTTCTCTCTTTTTCCTTTCGAGGATGAAGACGTGATTCCAGATCCGGAGCAGTTTGGAGACGCGCAGAGGAGCAGCGAGGAGGAAAGGAAAAAAAAAAAAAAAGTGAAGGAGAAGCATCCAGGACGCTGCGCTCACTGTCCGGTCCGCGGATCAGCCCCGCAGCCGCTGCTGAACGCTCCTCATCCGGCCGCCGTAGCTTTACGCACGCCGCGCCGCTCTGCGCACGACCCGCACAGAAACAAACTGAGAAGTTTTTTTCCATTTCGCTCCGGATCTTCGGCTCCGAGTTCAGATCTGGTCCGACAGCAGCAGGACCCGGACCCAAACCAAGGTCCAGCCCTGGATTCACTACTGCTGATCAATGGACAGAGCCTCTTCGGCGGGCAGCAGCGCTACAGACACGCCGTGAACAGTGAGTGAAGCCCGGGCACCTCCACCCACACACACACACACCCACCCAGGACACCCTCACACACCCTCACACACACACACACACACACACACACACACTGGACACCTGGCAGAAGGGATACCTGTAAATAAAGAGAGCAGGAATGAAGACCTCTTCATCATCCTCATCATCTTCCTCTCTTTTTTAATAGGCTACTTTTAATTTGTCGTTAGAATGAAAAAATCCTCTAATATATATAAATAAGATACCTCAGTAAAACTCACAGGTAAACCTGCAGTTATTTGATAATTCAGCATAATTCCTGCTGGAATTTGTTTTTTAATTAGACATAATTTATTTTATCGAGTAATATTTCTATATATAGAATATATATAGTTCTATATATATATATATATATATATATATATATATATATATATATATATATAGAACTATATATATATATGTATATATATATATATAGAATATATATATATATATATATATATATATATATATATATATATATATATATATATATATATATATATATAAATTTTTAACACTGGTTTTGGATAAAATTACAATCCGTCTTAATCCGTGGGTCACTTCGTCACGTTTTAACTCCACAAGAAAAAACAATTAATGACCGATTACTGCGAGAAAAGTCAATTATTACTGTGCGCAGTTTTTCTTTTTTTTGTTTTGTTTTTTTTCTTGGTATAATTTCTTAATTAGATCTACTCTGAGGAACCAGCTAGAAAAACAAAAATGAAATATTTTAGAGAAAGATGCAGACCTGATAGGAGAGCTGGAAGAGCGGCGGAGGGAGGGAAGAAAGAAGCAGGAGGAATGTGGAGAGAAGCGGCGGAGTGAAGCTGAAGGCCCCAAATGGAGCAGCTCTGCTGATCCAAAACTTTACCTGCAGCTCAGATTGAATAAAAAAAATGCATTTATTAGAAATAAAAACCCGACTGCTCCTGCTTTAAACTTGTATTTAATTTTTTTTTGTTTACTGTGCAGGAAAGTTTTATATTTTTTATTTTTTGTGTGAATCTCAGTTAGAGCAGAAGCTTCATGGATCTTCGGCAAAGTTTTTTTATTCCTCTTTTTTCTCTGGCTTTATGTCTTCTCTGCTGTTAAAAGCGAAATTCGGCTCCAACCGCGCAGCGAACCGGATGGTTTCGGTCCGGTGCGCCGGGATGGCGCAGCAGGATAGCCGGGCCCCTGGGGGCCCCTGTGTGGTGGCGGGTTCCTATCGCTGCTGGACCATCCGGACTCTGTTCTGACTCTGATTTCTTGTTATTTTATTTATTTTTTCATCCTCCATGAAGGCAGCCGGATCGGATCCGGAGCGATGCGCTCCGTGTGAACTCCTGCTCAGCCTGGGAGGATCAATCAGCTCCCAAATCAACCAAACCGATCAGCTCACAGTTTACAGACCATTTTATCCTCCATCCTTTTCTTCCTCTTAATGCAAAATATTTCATTTGATTATTTGTCCTTAACAGACATCAACTTACCATAAAACTTTTTTGCTGATTTTCTGACCTCTTATAAAACATTACAGCCGGGAAGTTTAATGAGACACAAAGCAGTTAATTTCCAACCTAAATCTAGTTACTGATCTAAGTGAGTTAAATTCTAAATAAAACGACTTGGCTGCGTTTGTTCCTCCTGTTAAAAACAAACAGAATTAGTTTGAGATTAATGTTCCTAGAACAATAATCGATTATAAATGTTTTTTTTTCCTCCTCTCTGATGAAGATGTTTGACTCTTTAGGCCTGAAGGAGAAAAGACTCCAGAGCTGCAGATGCAAACAGAACACAAACCATCAGCCTCCATGTTTATTTCCCCTCCTGGAAACCAGAAAAAAATATTATTTATTTACAAAAATCTAAATGTTTCTTAACTGCTCTTAATTAACAAATTAACATCTTAATTAAAAGGCTTAATACCTACATATACATCTTTATTTTTTACAGTGTGCTGCCATTGTGGTTATTAATGAGGAGTCAGTTACAGATTTGTTCTTCTTTTTTAAACAGACACCAGTTGTTCTGTGGATCTCAGTTAATGCAGTTTGTACATTTAGTTTGATTTAAATGTCTTCTATGGATGAGGGGAAATAATGTGCATTTAGGGAAGTAATAACGCTTTAATTATGCAGCTTTCATTTAAGCCAACTGGACTCGGTTTCATTTGATTTATTTTTTTTAAAAAGCAGCCCAACTGATCAACAAATCAAGCTTCTAGTTTAGGAGTTTGGATTAAAATTAGAGCCGCTATGGTTTAGCTTCTCTGAATTTGTTATCTACTATTGAATAAAAAACAATATATTTAATAGTAGTTTCTGTAAAATTGATCATTCTCTTCTGTCCTTGACGTTTTGCGTGCTTCCTCTAACATGCTCCACGTAAAAAAGTCGATTTTCATGTCAAGCTTGGCATAAAAGCCAGCATTTCTCTCTGTTATCCAGGTTCTGTGGCCCCCAGGGGCCAAAGACAGAGAGCTTCTGACAATGTTTTCACCGATACTTTAAATTCGGACCCATTCGGTATGAAAATCTCTGCTGATGTGAAGGGAGTCATCATTAAGACCCCGACTGCTTAATCAATGAAACATTTATAAACTAGAAAAGATGAGAAAAATAAAAGGTGATGCTTGGGACCCTTATTAGGCCCCTTTTTCATTTGCTCTTCATGTTTCCTAAAATACTTCTAGCTGCAGATTAAGTTGAAATAATCGATGAAGAGTGTTTTGTTTCCCTGTAATTAATCAGACATTTACAGCCGAGGCTTTATTACCAGTGAAGAACAGAGCTGCCCTGTTTGGTAACACGAAGCTGCACCAGATTAGGAATGCGTGACATGATAATAATAATAATGACATTCCCCTTTTTTATTGGGACATTGTTTGCATTGATTTCTGATCTGATGTGACGTGCAGCTCCAGAAGCATCAGTTTGCTGCTGATTGGTGGAGCTATATTACTCATCTCATCCTGCTGCATGTAGACAGCATGATTTTCTGCTTTTTGGTTCATTTTATGAAATAAATCCTGGTTTTAATGATTATCTTAATTGCACTTAAACATGTAATCTTAGGACATCTGTATGAAATGTAGACGTCCCTTTGATTCTTTGCACATTCACATGATATTTTGCCAACTTTAACACCTTTTTGCTGCCGCCTTTTTCTTCGTTATGGTTATTTTCTGTATTTTAACCTGTGGAGGACGGAGAGCATTAAAAAGGTTTGGGTCATGCTGGAGCCGGGTCGCTGCAGAATGACCCTCCAGTCGTTTCTGCTGTCTGTGCATCCTCAGGCCACGTCCGCCTGATCAAACCAGAGAGCCAGCTCCTCCTGAATTCCCCACGTCCAGATCCGACCCCTCCTCCTGATCATCCACATTCCTCCTCCATGGGTCAAACCAAAGCAAACCTCGTCTTCTTGGTGGATCCTTTTGTTTTCATCCAAATCATTGATTAACAGCCTCCATCCGACTCCTCTGATAATATGTAGACTAAAGCTGAGGAAGTTAAACTGCCCTTTTCTAGATGAGCATCAACATTTTTTTTAAATTCTGCCAGAGAAATCAATTAACAGAAATACTTCTCCTGAAGTAAAGAAGCCAAAAGTTAAGAGTTGGAGTCCCTCTGGTCTTCCTGCATGCTGGAAATATTCAAATCATGGCTTTGCTAAGAGCAGAGTGGTGCTGCTGGTGGTGGTGGGGGGGTCCTATGTCATCCTATTTCTCTGCAGGATTAGACCACAGAGCTCCTAATAGAGCTGTCATTCTTTTATCTGTGCTGCATTAACCAATAGCCTGATAGCGCTGCAATAAACCCTGATGTGGAACAGGGAAGACAGGCTGTATCTCAGGAAATTTCCCTAGATGTGACGCCTCCCCCTTCCCTGCTATCAGCTCTAATAATCTCTACCTGGTTTGCATCCCGACGGCAGGAGTGTTTGTTAGCAGCAGGGGAGGCAGAGTGTGGGGGGGGTCAGAGGTCAGTTCTTCCTTCTGTAGCGTTAGAAGTGCCCAGCGTCTCCTGAGCGCGTGTGTGTGCTGGTCTTTGCTTGCTGCATGCTTCAGAGAGGGACTGCAGGGCCGTGGGAGCTGATCTGAATGATCTGCTTTTTGCTTCGTTTTGAGGTTTTGCTCCCGTCAGAAGAGAGTTTTTCCTTTTTTTTTCCGTTTAACTTTGGAGCGTCTCATTTAGGATCAGGGTGGGAAAAAAAAAAGGTTTTTCTGCCTCCTCTGAATCCCATGTGTGTCTGTCTGTCTGTCTGTCTGTCTGTCAGAAGAACATATTGTTTGCTGATGTGTCCTCTGGGTGTGTCCACCTTTTATTTATCTGTTTTTCTGCCTCCTCGGCTGAAGGGCCGCCCAGCTGGACGGGCTCCTCTGCAGAGGAGGGGCCCGCTTCCTTTCCACCGCCGGTACGACAAGGAGGATTTTCTGTTCTCTAATCCAACTAATGTTTGCAGGAGTTTCAGAATTACTCCGATTATGTCAGCCAGTTATTTAATGATGAGATTAAAAAGGTGTGAGAGAACTGCAGTCATGCTGCTGCACCCTGCCTGTCAGCCACCTGAAATACCTTTTTTCCCATCTACAGCCACAAGCATGGGTGACATTTGATAGTGGCTCCATCTGCCTCTGCCTGCCAGCCATAAACTGCGATAGGTGTTGTGACCCCTTCCTTATCAAACCCATGTTACGCACAGCCCCACGCCTTCGCAGCAGACCTGAAACAGCTCCTCTTATCGCCTCTTTATTAACTGCCCTCACTATCCCACACCTTGCGATTATTATGGACTTGATATTATGTCAGTATCGCAGCCCTGTTGCCTAATGTGGCGTTTTGATAGCAGCGTGATGCGTTTAGATGTGATGCGCCACATAGAATCCGCCTGTCTTTAAGGAGGGTGTCCAGAACAAAGCCTGGCTATTGCTCAACACGCTGCGGACAGATAACAGGCTGGCATTCATCAGCCCGGTTGGGATGCCCTAT